TGCCTAAGATGTTTGCTTAAGATTATTTTTATTATAATTAATTGCATTTCCTCCCCAGAATCTCATTAGTGTACATATGAACTGTTGTTCAAAAGTTCGGATTAATACTTTTATCCAGCAAGGTTGCATTTTATTAATTTATACTATAAAAAAGTAACTGTAAAGACTATTTAGTCTGTTTTAAATAAATGCTGCTCTTTTGAACTTTCTATTCATCAAATAATTGTGAAAAAAACGCATCATGGCTTCCACAAAAATATTAAGCAACAAAAACGACATTGTTAATTATAAAAAAAAAAATATTGAGCAGCAAATCAGCATATTAGAATGATTTCTGAAGGATCATGTGACACTAAAGACTGGAGTAATGATGCTGAAAATTCAATGTTGCCATCACAGGAATAAATTACATTTTAAAAATTAGTGCTGTCAAACGATTAATTGCGATTAATCGCATACAAAATAAAGGTTTTTGTTTGCATAATATATGTGTGTGTTCTGTGTATATTTATTATACATATATAAGTACACACATATAGTATAAATTTTGAAAATATTTACATGTCTATATTTATATTCATATATTATAAATGAATATATTTAATATAAACATATAAACATATTTTTCTGAAATATATACATGCATGTATGTGTATTTATATATACATAAATATATACAGCACACATTATGTAAACAAAAACTTTTATTTTGGATGCGATTAATCGCGATTAATTGTTTGACAGCACTAAATAAAACAGAACACAGTTCTTTTAAATTGTAATAATATTTCACAATATTACAGTTTTACTGTATATTTGATCAAATAAATTAAGCCTAATTAAATCTTGATTATTCCAAACTTTTGAACGGTAATGTTTGTATATATATATATATATATATACATACAGTATCATTTTCATCATGCATGAATGCAGGAGCTCTTAATTAAAATAAATGATGCAAAATGTCTTACTGGTACTGGTAGAATTAATTTTCTTTAGGCAAAAATATGCTTTGTTTTGGTCCTTTTGATTTTGGGCTGAAATATGACCTAGATATATCTTGAGGTAAATATGTTTATCTCCCTGTATGTTTTTTTATTATGATGTTTGAATTTCTTCTTTGCAGTGATGAATACAATGTGGTATTAACTGATGTGAAGGGGCCCTTGCTATCAGAACGACTGGTTTATTTGTAATAAGATGTTGAAATTAATGTTGATCACAACCCCAGATGTGATCATTTGAAGTTCATAATGTCTATTGTGATTATTTAATAAGAACTTCTTTTAGGCACGACACATCCTACTCATTTAAATTTGCCTCATATGTACGCAGAAAGACGGCCAATACTAAACACAGTGTTGTGGAGTGAATACTTCATGTTTAAGAATGTGGTCTGATTTCCATGTATTAGCAGCTGTGGCCTCCGACTGGACGAACACCCCTTCAATGCCTCCATTGTTCTAAATGACAACGTGTGCCTTTTGTTAACTACCCGACTCCAGCGTCCAGTTAATATATCACTTCTTTGAGGAAAGACTTGAATGTTTTGTCCTTGCCATGTCAATACCAATTCTTTAGTGCCATTTCATACATTATGCAGTTATTTTACCACATCTTAAATTCCAGATGTTTGAAAATCTATCTGGCTGTCGTGGTTGATTGTTGATTTTCCTGAATATGAAATGAGAAATTTGGCTTTGGGAGTATGTGAAGCAGTAGTCACAGATGATGAACTGGGAGTGAATGGAGGCGCTGGAGTGAGAGAGTGATATTATGTGTGCTAATGGCACTCCAGTGTGTTTCGACGTCAGCTCAAACAATGACGTGATTGTTTTTCACAGTAAGGGATGGATGGGGAAAAAAAACTGTTTGTTGAATTTCTTCCTTGTCTCTGCTTAGCCAACACAGTCTACATAGTTTTTTGGTCCAGGCTATTGGTTCAGTTTGAAAAATTTGTAGAAATAGATACAAAATCATATAGTAGCAATCTGTTTGAACTTCCTGAGCATTGGGGAGCTTTTACTAGTTTTCCAACCAACTTGTTTTAGCAATTACGTTTGATGCCACTACTGATGCAGAAATAACACACCTCCCTTTTGACAGTCTTTCAGTTGCCTTCTTTTGCTATGTGATGCTATACTGGCATGTTTATTCTTCCTAAGAGCAATAAGAAGATTTTCCATATTTTCTCTCATTTAAACTCTCATTTACAGTAAGTCACAAAATTTGACAATGAAATTGCACCGACGGTAGCTTCTGAGTTTTAGTGCCAGCTCTTTTTGTAGTGCCATATATCAGCATTGATGCCAGCCAAAATTATTTCAGGATCCAAAGTCTATACAAGCACATCGAAGGAACTTTAAAATCTGTTATTGCTATGATTTTAACAAAATATACACACTTTGAATGTTTAACATTGAATGTTGTACTTTTTATATGCATAATTGTCCAAATCTCAGCTTGTGGTTGAATGGTAGACTCGAGTTTGATGTAATATTGCTATTTTTCTTGTGAGCCAACACGTTTTATTGTAAATATACTGTATACAATAATTGACTCGATGCACTGTGATCTGTACACTCTACTTTAAGAACTCTAATGGTGCCAGTTTGCAAAAATCTTTTGAGAGATATTTTAAACAGTGCTTCTGGGTAACCAGACTTGTGCCAAGTGGCTTATTAGTGGTTTCTATATTTCTGGTAAGGAGGTACATTTTGATGCCTACAACTGGGGTGAACAATCTCATCTGCATGTTATTCTACAAAAAGTATTTTGTGAGATAATAAAATTACATGAAATCAGAGACAAACTCAAATCCATGTAATTTCATGGCATCTGTAGCACCAACTCATCTTCTTCATAGAGTTTTGACATTTGGCTTTGGAATATTAAATAACATGACTGGATGCTTTAGGAAATGCATGAATCAACGTCAGTATAACCCGTTCATAAGCTATATTCATTCTTCTCTTAGTGTTATATATGCTTAGTAAGCATAAGCTTACGTTTTCAGAAGATTATTCATAAGTTGCCAGTTCTACATATAAATTATCTTGTGTTAAAAAAAAAGTTTGAATTCATCTTTTGATATACAGATAAATATATGGAAGTATATACAGATGCTGTATCAGAACTCAAAACTAAAAAAAGCCAAAAATAGCATTTATTGATCTGACTTCTCTCGATCTGAAATCTGTGACCTGTGATGAATACATGAACACATGGCCATGGAGTCACATAATGAGGAAGTAGAGACCAAGAAGATAATGTTCAGTTGTATATCATCAGCAAACAGTGCCACACAGAGGTCAGTGTTCAGCAGACACTTTACTGAAATCATAAACTCATATTTCTGTAAAAAAAAATGTAAAGCTTAAAAATAGTTTTGCACATAAATGTAGATTTAAATCTTGCATATGAATTTATTTACTTTTACTGAACGCTGCTCAAGTTACTGCCAGTGAAATAATCAGAATATGTCATGTTAATTTTATTTTTATTGGTGTGATCAGATCATGGTGCAACTATCCAAAACAACCTAGAAACCATATAACAGCACCTTAGCAACCATCTACAACATACTAGCAACCGCTTAGTAATCACCCAGAACATCAAAGCAACTATGTACAGTCTATTAACTGCCAAACAACCATCCAGAACACCCTAGCAACTTCATAGCAACACCCTATCAACCAACCTGAATACCAGAGCAACACCCTAGGAACCACCCAGAACACCCTAACACCTCAGCATCCACCCAGAACACCCTAACACCTTAGCAACCACACAGAACACCCATGTAACAATGCATAGCAACGCCTTAGTAACCACCCTAACAAGAAGCAACTGCATAACAATAACTTTGCAACCACCTAGAACACCTTAACATGTAGCAATGCATAGCAACACCTTAGCAACCACCCATAACACCCAAGCAACAGCATAGCAACACCCTAGCAACCACACAGAACACCCCAACAAGTAGCAACTGCATAACAATAACCTAGAAACCACCCAGAACACCCTATCATGTAGCAATGCATAGCAACACCCTAACAAGTAGCAACCACCCAGAACACCCTAACATGTAGCAACAGCATAGCAACACCCTAGCAACCACCCAGAACACCCCAACAAGTAGCAACTGTATAACAATAACCTAGAAACCCCCCAGAACACCCTATCATGTAGCAATGCATAGCAACACCCTAGCAACCACACAGAACACCCCAACAAGTAGCAACTGTATAACAATAACCTAGAAACCCCCCAGAACATCCTATCATGTAGCAATGCATAGCAACACCTTAGCAACCACCCAGAACACCCAAGCAACAGCATAGCAACACCCTAGCAACCACCCAGAACACCCCAACATGTAGCAACTGCATAACAATAACTTAGCAACCACCCAGAACACTCTAATGTAGCAATACCTCAGCAACCACCAAGAACACCCTAACAGGTAGCAACTGCATAATAACCATCCAGAACACTCAAGCAACAGCATAGAAACACCCTAGCCACCACCCTGAACACCCTATCAGGTAGCAACTGCATAGCAATACCTTAGCAACCATCCAAAACATCCTATCACCTTATCAACCACCCAGAACACCCTAACATGTAGCAACTACATAGCAACACCTTAGCAACTACCCAGATTAACTAAAACTACTTGAAATTTGAAACATTCAAACCTTTTCAGAAAAGACTGTCTACAAACTTTTTTAAATTAGATTTTTTTTAAAATATTATCTGAAAAACCAATAAATCTGGTGGATCTTTAAAGAACAGCACCCAAAATAGACTTATTTCTCTTTTCATTTGAAGAGTTTTCAGTAATTTAAAGCAACATTTCATTTGAAATATTGAAAATACTCAAATATCTAAACCGCTATTCTAAATGCATATTTTTATTCCTGCGAATGATTCTCTTTGGACTTTTTAAAACACCTTCTGTAAAGACACAATTCTTGACTACAAAAAAGGGATTGAACATTGTTTTAATTACAGTAAATGCACAGAATACTCCAGACATAAAGAGGCATTCTTTGGTTAGGTTTACTGTATCATTTTAAAACATTATCATCTACTGTACTATGACTGTTTCCTGAGTCTCACTGCATGTAGAACATGTCATTGATGGTCACTGACATTCATCTTGAGGTTTGAGATGCTTATGTTGTGGCTTTTGTAGGATTTTGTCCTGTAGTGTTTGTATTTAAATGTTTGTTATCTGCCTTTGTTTGCTGAAAAGCTTGAGTTTTTATGCTGGTTTAAGGCTGTCCTAATTGATGGGCAGCAACACATGGTTAACCAAGATGGTTGATTTGCATGGTCTTCCTAACATCCACAACACAATAAAGCTGGTGACATCAGCAGGGTTGATTGTGATTGTGTCTTGCTGTGTTCTCATTTTTCTGTTACGATAAGCCGATTGATGGTGTGTTGTGATTTTAGCTGACCGGTAAGGAAGGGTCAGACATGTGTTTGGGAATTTCTTCCAGGTGTGATGAAGTGTCCAGGTTGCCAGGCAATGAGGGAAAGTGGAGGGACGAACAGAGGCGTGGTGCATCTATCAAAATGGGCTGAAGGGCTGGGGCTGAAGCAGCATTCGTTTCCAGTTTATCGGGTACACAATCGTCTGACGCAGCTCCCATGTGAACACCACTGGACAGAGAACCCTGGGAATTTGACTTGAATATGGAATCTGGCTGGGCTGAACTCTGGAAACAGAGAGTTAAAGATAGTTAAGTTGTTTTATAACCAATAACACTGTTGATTGTCATCAGTTTAGTAAATACAGCTAAAGCTAAAGGTTAGTATTTAGTATCAGGATGGTTTTGTAATTACAAATTAAAAGTTCTGTTAGTAATCAACTCTTGTTAAAAAGAAGTACACTTGAGCATACTCTTAAAAGTATGTAATAATATACCTTAAAAATATATACACTGTCTGTCGGTGCTGATAGCTGACATACAGCGCCGTTGCGCTACGGCGACCCAAGTTCGAATCCCGCTTCGAGGACCTTTCCTAATCCCACCCCTCTCTTTCTCCCACCATATATATACACACTTCTATTTTATATACACTTGCTATTTAAAATTCAGTTAAAATGTATTATATGTATTTAAATTTACATGAAGTATGATTAGTTGAACTTAAGAGTGCGTATTTGATCTACTTCAGTAGGTAACTTCATAATATGTAACTTTATAATTATTATATTATGGTTAAAATGTACTGACAAGCATTTACGGTAAACTAAAATATATTTTTTTTCTTTGCATTGTTTTTAATAGAAGAATGTGCCAACAGTACTATTGCGCTACTGTCCACGGCAATCAGCCCAACACTTTAATGTTTTATGTATTGAAACTTGTGTGTCATGTACTTAAAAATATTTGTAATTACTCATTTGTAATAAAGTTGCAATTAACTACATATTCATTTTATATATATAATATCAAATAAGCACACTACAATGAAATTTTAAGTACTTTGTGCTTTAGTATGTTAGTCAACACATCAAAATAAGTGTACTTCTTTAAAGCATGACAAAATATTATTAAAATAATGATTAAAAATGTACTTTAACGTAAACTTTTAATTGTAATAATTATAATGAATTCAATTGTAATAATTTGACATAATTACAAAGTACACTGTTAGAAAGTACACTATAAGAAACAGTCATACAAACCATAAAAATTTTATTATCTGCAAATACAGTATTTTAAAAAATAAAACTTTTAAGATATGAAGTACACTACAAAAGCACATTCAGTATAATTAAACACAGGACTTTTTGTGTGGCACTGAAAACCACTTTTACTGTACAGCATATTTACCTGAATAGTGGTACCACGGCAATCAGCCCAACACTTTAATGTTTTATGTATTGAAACTTGTGTGTCATGTACTTAAAAATATTTGTAATTACTCATTTGTAATAAAGTTGCAATTAACTACATATTCATTTTATATATATAATATCAAATAAGCACACTACAATGAAATTTTAAGTACTTTGTGCTTTAGTATGTTAGTCAACACATCAAAATAAGTGTACTTCTTTAAAGCATGACAAAATATTATTAAAATAATGATTAAAAATGTACTTTAACGTAAACTTTTAATTGTAATAATTATAATGAATTCAGTTGTAATAATTTGACATCATTACAAAGTACACTGTTAGAAAGTACACTATAAGAAACAGTCATACAAACCATAAAATTTTTAATTATCTGCAAATACAGTATTTGAAAAAATAAAACTTTTAAGATATGAAGTACACTACAAAAGCACATTCAGTATAATTAAACACAGGACTTTTTGTGTGGCACTGAAAACCACTTTTACTGGACAGCATATTTACCTGAATAGTGGTATTCGAGTACATGCTGTGAAGTACTGGGGTGCTGCTTCCGTACAGAATAGCAGGGTCAGGAGTGTGGTTCTCAGGTAATACAGTGCTATATGCTGGGGGCACTGGAGCAATCTGTCGCTGGAGAAGCTGAAGGATCACATTGATGTCTGCTATCATTCTGGTCTCCAGTCTGGGAGAAACAGAACAAAAAACTTCAGCATTTAAGTAGCTATTTGCTAGACACCTTCATCCATTCAAATATCATCAAGTGACAGCCCCTGGTCACTGTATGTGTCAAAGGAATGAAGAGAGCATCGTAAACAAAACGTTCTTCATTCTCATTCTTCATGATGGGCAATAAATGACAAGAGAACTGTCAGTTTTAGTTAGTTTGAAGTGAAGTTTGAAGTTAGTTTTAATCACTTAGTTTAAAGTGTTTGCACCACCTACCTATTGAGTTGGCTCTGCAGGAGCTCCAGTCTGGACTCAAGTTCACTGGGTTGATGCTCAAAGAGCAGTGGTGGGAATGAGGTCCTGACAGATAGGGGGTGCCGAGTCTGTTCAGCGAAATGAGCTGCCTGGTGGTCAGGCCAGTAATGGTACAATCCAGATGGAGGAGGAGCTTGTGTTAGAAGGAGATATTGAATAATAAAAATCCAACAACTCAAGAAATGCATTTGGATTTACAGTATGCCATTTAAAGTTCAGGTCTGTGAGATTTTAAAGGTGCACTTTTTCAACTGTCAAAATGTTATTACTAAACAGTAGTTGCGATGACCTAAAATGACCCAGTTCTCCATTACAGTGCTGCAGTGATGTATTTTTTAGGCCAACCTGGAAATTTGCATCACCTTGTTTCTCTCAACAAAAGCCTATTAGGATTTTCTCACTGGCTTTTGAATTATTGTAGAAACTGAGCTCTGTGACCAACACGTGATCCAACACATGATGATGACCAACATTATGATTCTTTTGTTCACCATGAATGTAAAATTTTATGAATTTTGAGGCCTAAATGCAATCGTCAGAGGTAAAAAGCTAAAATAAAGGCTGTAAATGAACTACATGGTCACATGACGTCAACATCATCACGGTTAAGCTTCCAAAAACTCTTTCAGACGTTTAAAAAAAAAAAAAACATTTTCCATGAAAGCAAAAAAGAAATGACCAAGGGGGCATTACTGATATATTTTATGCTGTAGAATAAAATGCAAAGATTTCTTGAGCTTGTGTTAACAAAGGACCTTTGAGTTCAGGACGACGGAACTGGAAGTACTAAAATGCTAACTTGTTTCTGGGTTTTGGCCTACAACAATATGTATCCTTGCAGCACACCATGGTTTGGCTTCAGGATTCAGATTTTACATGTTTGTAATGCTGCATTCAAACCAATAGATATCAGTATAATATCCAAGACCAGAGCAAAATGCAAATAAAAAAAACTACACAGTGCACCTTTAAATATCTCTTGAAGCTTTTGAGCACCTTAATGCTAATATTTAAATAAATACTGTATACCCACCCAAATGCCCCATATGCATGCCAGGCTCTCTGCTGACCCCCGAGGCACCTCACGGTGGTATTAGTCTCACAACAGGAGAAGGGTAGTCCAGATGATCTGCTCCCGAGATATACAGCTCACAGTGGCTGATGGGAGACTTACTGAGGTTTTCACTGGATTGCAATGTAGAGCTTCCACAGCTCCACAGCTCCTCCCAGTGCATGTGAGCGGTTGGAGAATGATGGTGACCCAGGGCCGAACACATCCGAGATGGGTATGAGTCATTCTGGTCCATTCCATCTTGAATAGCAAGACAAGAGCAATTTTAAAAGGGTCATATGTCGTTGCTAAAAAGAACATTATTTTGTGTATTTGGTGTAATGCAATGTGTTTATGCGGTTTAAGGGTCAAAAAACACATTATTTTCCACATACTGTGCATTATTGTTTCTCGTCTATGCCCCGCCTTTCTGAAACGCGCCGATTTTTACAAAGCAAAGTGTATGCTGATTGGCCAGCTATCCAGTGCGTTATGATTGGCCGAATACCTCAAGCGTGTGACAGAAATGTTATGTAAATACAACTTAACCACTGATTTCTCGTTGTGTCCTCTTTTGGAAGGCCAAACAAAGTAGTTTTGCTTTTACAACGAAACACACAGCGTCTCCACGACATGGCGGCGGTGGCAACAATACTACAGCGAGAATAAAAGTTACGCCTTCTTTTTTTGCGTGAACATTTGGGCGGTGTTGTGCAAATCTTCCCGCACAGTGACGTAGACATGTGGGGGCGTTTAAACGTGGCGTTTTTGGAGGGTGTGGACGAGTCTTAACTTTTTTAAAGAATATCTCTTTAGGTTTGAGACTTTAGTCTTTGCAATTTTAGGAATCTTATCTATGCATGAACAGCTTGTAACATTCCAAAGAGAAAGGAAAACTTGAAATTGCATCATATGACCCCTTTAAGTAAAAAGTTGTGTGCTCTCATGATCTAGTCCTGAATTTATCTTTTTTTTTTTTTTAATTAAGAACTAAATTGACTGCTTTAGCTTTAACATGATCTTTAACATGTTCTCTGCAAATTCATTCACTGTTCTGTAGTCAAGCAGCTCAAAAGCAAAGCTAGATGTGAACTACGGCAAACTGTGAATTAAATTACGCTGAAATATGTCATGTCTCAGTTTTTTTGCTACAGTTAACGTCCTTTTACCTTAAAAAATGAGTGTTCTACTCACCTGGCCTGTTGCGTCTGTCTAGTGAGTTTTGGTGGTGTCGTATGCCATTCATATGGTATCCACAGTCCAAATCTTTGCAATTTTAGGAATCTTATCTATGCATGAACAGCTTGTAACATTCCAAAGAGAAAGGAAAACTTGAAATTGCATCATATGACCCCTTTAAGTAAAAAGTTGTGTGCTCTCATGATCTAGTCCTGAATTTATCTTTTTTTTTTTTTTAATTAAGAACTAAATTGACTGCTTTAGCTTTAACATGATCTTTAACATGTTCTCTGCAAATTCATTCACTGTTCTGTAGTCAAGCAGCTCAAAAGCAAAGCTAGATGTGAACTACGGCAAACTGTGAATTAAATTACGCTGAAATATGTCATGTTTCAGTTTTTTTGCTACAGTTAACGTTCTTTTACCTTAAAAAATGAGTGTTCTACTCACCTGGCCTGTTGAGTCTGTCTAGTGAGTTTTGGTGGTGTCGTATGCCATTCATATGGTATCCACAGTCCAAATTTTCACTGGTCATCATCTGTTCAGCCTGATTAAATATCAGTTAAAACAATGATTACTGTACAGAGAGCTTCAACTTGTTAATTACATAAGCTGACATTTGTTATGGTGACTAGAATGCGTGATTCTTGAGATATGCGACAAATGTTCCATGAGTTTTTCAGGCATTTAACCAAAAATATGTCATCTATGCAGGACTCTATGGTTTGGATTCTAAAATCAGATTTTACATTTTTGTAATGCTGCATCCACACCAATATATGTCAGTATAAGTCCAAGACAAGAGCAGCATCTAAACAACAAACTATATAGTGCACCTTTAGATAACTCTAAAAGCTTTTGAACATCCCTTTATGCTAATATTATCATAAATACTATATAAGCACCAAAGTGATCTGAGATGAACACTTGAATGCTCTTCATCTAAATGCATTCTCTTTATTTGATCAAAATTATCACATTATTACTCACTACGTCTAAACCAACCTATCAGATCGACACTCAATACTTCACATGAATTAAAATGTACATTAATATGATGCTATAAATTACCTTTAAAACAAACATTCAGAAGTATTGGGTTGTCAAATGTTAGATTTGTCAGTGTTTACAATATTGCACCTCTGAACATATTTAGCATTAATTAATTCAAATAATAATTAATAAGCCAATTCCTTGATACATAAAGGTCTATTTTATTTCAGTATTCAAGAATCAGTGAGGGATATGTATAAATGTGTGTGGGATGTGAGGTTTACACACGTCTCGTAGGTTAAAGGTGATTTCTAGGTTCCTCCAAAAGCTCTCGCCAAAGGCAGGGTACATGTCCAGCACCTCTAGAAGGTCGTCTCTTTGGATACGTTGAAGGTCACAGTAGGTAAGTGCAGTAACATCAGCGTTACTGTGACCAGGATCTGTATACAGATTTATAGGCTCGCCAAAGACATCATTCTTCCCTGTATGTGAAACAGGAAGTAGTTTTTATTAGGCCTTAAAAAAGACAATCTAAAAAAAACTTCAAACAGCCAGTGGATCAGACAGTGGTTTGCTGAGGTTTAATTTTAATCTCACCCAGGATGGCCAGCACAATGTTATGTTGCGACACTTGAATGGAACCACGGGAGATGAAGTGGAGGGCTTTGATCACGTCGCCGTGGTGATAGAGGGTGTCTCCAGGTGGCGAGTGGGTGGTTTTGAAGTGCATGGCGAGAGCTCTCAGACACGCTTTACTAGCCCCTCGGAACACCTTATAGTTCTGCAGCAGACTATGATTCAGATGCAAGCAAATATCAGCTTGCAAACACTCAGGAAAACCTTTCAGGACCTATAATTAGAAGAAAGAGGCACGATTGGGTTTCTGTTATGCAGATTAATATATAATATAGACAGGAATGATATTTGAGTTACTAATTTTGGCTCAGGTATGTGACCTACTGCATTCATATCAATGCCATTGGTGTAGGACCAGGCGTGCTGGAAATATTCCTCCAGTCTCTGCCTCAGTTCTCCAGGTACCTGATGGAAGCGGATGAACTCTTTAACCCGCAGCATCTGGGTGTGATAGCGCGTTGTTCCCGAATAAAGCCTCTGAATTATTGCAGAGACATTCCCGAATATGCTGGCATACATGAGAGCTAAGACAAAGTCAATAGAGAATATTTAGTCAACAGCACAATTTTTTGACATGGAGGTAAGAGGAGGATTATTATAATTAATTAAAACTAAAACAATTTTAAAAGAAATGTTACTTGAAATATGTGTATAGGAAATAAAATATTGAAAAAAACGTTTTTTTTTAATTTTCAGCTAGTAGCCAAGGTACAATTTCTTGTTTACATTTAGTTGAACTTGTACTAAAATACAAACTTGATGTGCAATAAATACTAATAAATACTACAAATAAAATGTCTTGGTTACGTACGTAACCATCGTTCCCTGATGGAGGGAATGGAGACGTTATGTCGAACGACATATGGGGTTTCACTTGGGAGGCCAATCATCTCTGAGTTTAAGAGAAAACGCCAATGAAAATTGGCTAGTGGATTTTGCATACCTGAGCCACTTCCCATGCATACGGTATAAATAGGCGACAGGTGCATCCACTCTTCAGGTTTTACGCTGAGGAGCCGAGAACGTGTCCCGGCAACAGCGAACGGTTCAAGATTGTGGCATAGGGACATAACGTCTTCGTTCCCTCCATCAGTGAACGGGGGTTACATACGTAATCGAGACGTTCCCTATCTGTCGGTCACTACGAGTTATGTCAAACGACATATGGGGTCCATGGAAAATGCCACAACCTGAACACAGTCACAACCCTGTGGCGCTGCAATTGTTGACAAGCCGTGGCGTGCCACAAAAGCTACGCTAAGATCGTAACCTTCCCAAAGCCCCAGCGCAAATTCACTGACCTTGGTACTGAAGGGGACCAACGGTGAGCACATCGCTGCTGGAGAAGG